CCAGGCCTCTGGTAGAGGACCTGAGCTCAGAGGATGAAAGAGACCACCCACGGAGGGTGAGAAGGGATTTTTTTTTTCAGTTATTTTGTGAAAGGATTAAAAAAAACGTTTTAAGTTTTCCCTTGCTCTCCTCTACATGCATATTTTTCATGTACAGATTCTGTTAAATTAACCTCAAATTGCGACTCTATCAGAATAACTTTCAAGATATGAAGATTTTCCTTATTATGTGTAAAACTTGCATGGTTTCTAACATGTCCTTTGACAACTTCATTTCACCGTCTTTTCTCAGGGCATTGACATATTTCACGCATACCTCGAGTTGCCAAGCCTGGCAACACGGAAACAGTACCGTGGGTGGGGTAATGTACCATGTCGCTGTCCATTTCAGCACCACATATGTAGCACCTCTATCTGCAGCTTGCATCTTTTTAGGAAGGAAGAGGGTTCTTAAAGCCACGCAGGCGAACACTAAAATAAACTGCAATGCAGAAAATAGCTTATTATTTATGCAGATTGAACCATAGACTCAAATATAAGGAGGATTTTTTTTTTTTTTTTTTATAAAAGGGTTTAAAATTACTTCTTGCTTGAAAAAGAAAAGGCTTTTCCAAGCAACAAAAATGATCGCCATACCTTTTCATTAGGACTTTCCTTCTCCGATGTAAATCGTACTTCCACGCCGCTCCGAGCATCATCTGCTTCCCCGCTCAGGCTTCTCCTCGACCCATCTGCAGCCTCCCCGGGTGTCTTCCCCACAGGGTCACCGGTCTCCAAGACCCTCTCCCGGCTCCCGCTTCTCGGGGTGCGGCTCCCCTTCCTGCCCACCGCGTAGTTATCGAAGTCAATGGTCTTGCTATCGAACGCCCCTTCCACGGAACTGAACATCCCGAAGGATTTGCGCTGGTTCGGCCCGGTGGTGATCGGACCAGCGAGGTAGACCGGCAGCTCATCCTCCCGGTTCCACTGCCTCCTGCAGTCAGACATGATGGTGGCTTCTTCTGTCTGAAGCGACGGAGACAATTCTGCTTTTTTTTTTTTTTTTACGTCTGTAAGCGGGTCACGGTCCCGCCTCTTCAGGCAGGCGCACTCATTCAGTGCTGTGATGTGTGAAATTGTTAACTTGAATATTTTATTTTTTTTCCACACATACCAGTAATAATGAAGCTCTCCAGTTTAAAAACAACTATTGATTTCGGTACATGAATTAATGAGCCAAATAGAGAAGATGAATAAAAGCACTAGAAGTCTCCTGTTCTCTTGGGTTGCGGATTAAAAAAAAAGCATGTGTTTAACCCACATCTGCGGGCAAAATGGGGGATGCAAGTGATCCATGTGTTTTCTGGATGAGTACGCACTGTGCAGCTAGATTGCTTTAAGTGAGCATAGAGCAGGTCAAGTTCATTCAAGAGGAGATTCCGCAGTGAATTAAAAATAGCTCTACTGCTTTGTTGACTCCAAATTATGTCGTCTATAATACCCTAAAGTCCATCGGAATTTAGAATGGATAAATAATACCCTCCCTTCAAAAACATTTATTTATTTTTTTGTCTTTTAAATGTTACAAATACACTCATAGGCCATTTTATTAGGTACACCTTGTTAGTACTGGGTTGATAACCACACAGGTTCAGCAAATTTATTGGAAGCATACCAAGGATGTAAGTCTCCAGTTCCACCACATTCCACAGCTTTTCCACAGGTTTGAACCTTGTGATATATTGTCTTGTTGAATGCCATCAGAAAATGGTTAGCATGTATGCGGGCAAGGGGCTGTAAAAATTGTTGGGTTTTAATCTTCCAATATGCTTTAGATTATTTAGCAACATTTATTCATGTGTTAGACTCAAATCTCCCCTCTAACAAGTCCTGGGTCAGTTTTTACCCACTGGTGTTTTGTGGGGCGGAGCTGAACTTGATTAAAATCACAGTTTGACCTTAAACCCTGAAATCTCCTTAAATAGTAACTGTTGCAAAGCTTTAAAGCACACAGCTCTATCCGAATGTGGTGACAAAAATAATTATAAGGATTAATATTTGCGGGTATATTTCTGGTTTGTCTCTTCAAAATGGTGGAAATTTTGTACAAATGTGGAGCTCAGACATTAAAATAATTGTTGAGATTCCACAAACTGGTTAGGACATTCATAAATAGGTTCACATAACTTATTAATTATTAAATAAGTTGTTATTTTCATTGCTGTTCATTGGACCTTCTAATATTGGAGAGCCTATTTTAGGAGTGGGCGGGTCATAAAGTTGTGGTGTAGTCTGACAGCAGCCTGTGAGTGTCTCCTTACTGGGATCCTTCTGGTACAGACGGAGTATGGAGTCAAACATACGAATCCAGGAGGGCTAATCATGAACATTTAGTTGGTAAGTATTTTTTATTTTTTTTTAAATAACATTGCGAGAGCAGTGTTGGTGCAGAAGTTGGTGGTTTACAGGCACTTTTATTAATTTGGGAAGTCGTTAGTGTACCAAACCTGTACAACAATTTCAAATATTATTGACAAGTTATTATTAATACTCAATTCACTAAGTGGCACATTTTAATGTCAGGCCTTTGTTTCCATTAATTATGACAAGTGACATTTAATATTAAAACACCAGACCACTAAAAATACATTCTTATGCAGATATGTGGATGTAATTATATAATTACTGAATACGACTGTACATCTTTCTAAATTCTATGTATCTCCCAAAATTCTAAACAGACTGTTTTTGTACTTGTTTTTATGTAGAATATGCACATCTAGCTCCTAAATCTAACCCTTGCTTATTCAATGAAATGTTAAATATGTTTCCCAAAAAAAACATTGTTTGGGTAATATTTCTTACTAAGACAATAAAATCAGTAATTAAAAAGGAAAGTATTAGAGCTGAAAAGAACATTTTGTACACAAAAATAATGTCAAAGACTCCACCTATTCCATATTTTAGCTGTTTTATGATTTAAAACTAAAAACATTATTTCATTATCTCACAAAACCTTTTCACACTCTGACTCTTCATGATTCTTCCTGACACATGCTTTTGAATCTTTCTGAATCTTTTAGGAAAAATGGAGAAGGATTCCGAGTCTTCATCCTCCTCTGTCAGCACCACGGGTCCGTGCCCTGTCCTGAGGGGACCCTCACCAGCGCCTAAACAGATTCCTTCTCCCCCTGCAGCTAGTAAATCTGCTGCACCTTCTCAGCCTGACAAATCAACATCTCCATCAAGTCCCAGAAAATTATCTGATTTCTCTTCATCATCCACACAAGCTATTCATTTGGATAAATCAAAGCCAGAGTCTTTTGCTGAATCTGTGTCCTCAGAACGTTGGTCTGGTGACATAACTGAAAAACCTCATCCAGGTTCGTCCAACACGTCTGTCTCCAAAACAACAAGTATGTCATCTTCTGCAAAGTTCAAATCGACCTGTCCTGGATCATCTTGCTCTGGCTCCAACACTTCCCCCTCTGGAGCTGCTTCCACAAAACGCAGCTTTGCCTCTGTGGCTAAGCAGGTGATAATGCAGGAGAGACTCAGGAAGGCAGAGGAAGAGGATGCAAATGATGAAGAAGATGGTGAGAATCCACTCAAATTAAGTTAGTCAGATGTTAATAAAGACAGATGATTATTACTTAAGTTTATATAACAGAGAGGTAGATAAAAAAATCTGTCACTGAGCCATTATAAAAGAATCCATTCTACCAAGTTTAATGGAGTTATTCATTTAGATCAATGGGAAACTATTTAGGCTATACAATTTTATTTTGAAAAGATTTCACACAAAAGCTATTAATCTAAGTCAAAGTCATTTTTGTTTGTCTTTATAAATTAGAATACTGTTATTGATCATTTGACCAGCATTTGCACACACCGATATCAACATCGTAGTTTTTTTCTAAATAAAAACTCACTTGTGATTATGTTTCTAACTGAAGTTGGAAGATTGTTTACAATAGTCTTTGCCCATTTCCATGCATACAGACTTACCAGACTGAAATATGTCATTACTATAACATCAAATTTTTACAAGTTCAGTCTAATTCATCGATTAACTTGATCACTAAAACAACAATTTCTCAGGATTATTTGCAAACACTCTGATAGTCCTTCTCAAAAGCTTCCCATTGCATTTCAAACGCATGAAGAACAATCTAACCAGAATGTGGTAAACTATGCAACTAGTAGAGGTGATTATTAGAAAGTTAGAAATAAGTATGCATAAAATTCACAATGACAATTATTAAAAGACAAAATAAATAGAAATTAAAACCAAAATTACATCTCATTTATAATAACTTCAAACATAGTAGTAAAATTAGTAGTAAAATTAACAGAAACACCTAATAGCAATTTACTTTGGTCAGTTTATCTAACAGCCATGTTTTTGGACTGTGGGAGGAGGCTGGACTACCTGTAGAGAAGCATGCATGCTCAGAGAGAACACATAAACTGCACAAGAAGGCGCTGACCATGATTCTAGTCCAGGATCAATTTCTTGTTTAAAATACGGTGATTCTTATAATGTGTTATAGTTGGAGACTTCTGGAGGTAAAACTTAAAATGCAGACCTGTGGTACAGCTCATGGGCTTTATACATACGAATCTCTGGCATCTGAAAAAAAGACGCCTTTGTGATGAAGCACATTCTAGAGACAGGACCGGTTCATATAATAAACAAGTCCTGATGTGACATTTTAGCTGTCTGGTCATCAAGCTGCTCGAGCTCTTAAATTTTATCACATTATAGATTCTCAGGCCAGCAGACGTGTTTAAAGTTTCACGGTTTCACATCTACTCCACCTTTCAGGTTTTTTGATCTTGAGTTACAGGATGCATATCTGACACAATTTTATTGTCACTTAAATGTGAGTCTAGAATAATCCATGCTTAGTAACACTGATACAAGATCATACTACCTATTAGCTAACTCATGAAGAAATAGTTTTATGGAATTTACCTCAGTGTCTAATAAACCTGTTTGGTGCCATTTAAGATGAAGAACTAGAAGACCTGAGTGTGGAGCAGATGGAGGAGAAGGCCAACACTGGTGATGCCAGAGCTCAGAGCCGGGTCTGCACACACACGCACGCACACACCCACGCACGCACACACACTGACCAACACTTGGCATTGTTGTCAGTCTCACTGGATGACTCAGATGTGGGGTGTTTCTATTTCTGCCACCCGCAAGATGATCTCTGGATTCCAGTTTACAACACAACTCTTTCCCTGCTGACAAATCATTTAAAAAATCTGTTTGCAGAATGTTCTAAATTTTCACAAATTGTCAAATGCTTAAATTGTGAGTGACAAAGAAAACTGAGAAGCTGCAGATTGTGTGTGTTTTCTGTGGATAATTATCTTTCAGACACGTCTTTTCATACAGATTACAATAGGACAATAGTTCTAGCAAAGTCTCATGAATTAAAGAATCTGTCATACCCTATAACACGTGTGCATCATTGTTTATTGATGCTTAGGTAAATGTGGTCTGGTTTTGTTCATTTATCTACAAGACTTGGTAACACTGTGTGAAATGATTTTATCTATTTCACAACTCACTGAAAGGCAGAGGACAGATTTGATGACAACTGTGTGAGAAGAAAGTTATGTAAAGATGGTTAAGATTAGAAAACAGACACTTGATATGTCCTGGAGTGCTCAGCTGCCCCTGTTACTTAGCCGAGACAGAAAGACACACAGCAATGGGGCTGCAGGATTCTGTTTTTCGAAGTCATTTCTTTATGTGGCTCTGACATTGGCTACACTGGAACAAAACAATTAACCATAAAAGTTCTCCCTTTACAGAACCTTTCACACACATATTGTTAAGTATGCACATGTACAAACCTGTTTGTACATGTTAACAATTGAAATCCTGTGGTGAAGCAAAAAAACTGCAAACCCTCTTCATCAAAAGTAACAGTCTCTCCCCCTTTACCTTCCAGTTGGGTCAGCACTTCTTGATGCTTGCTGAAGAAAAAGACCCAGACCTCAACAACCGCCTGGCAGTTAACTGGCTAATCAAAGCAGCTAAACAGGGAAGAATGTCCGCAGCGAGACTTCTTCAGCGCTGCTGGATCCAGAAAAAGGGAGTAACTCCAGAAAATGAGGCTGACATGCGCAAGTTGTCAAAAGAGGGCAAGTTTGAGCTGGCAGTACGCAAAGCAGCCATGATGATGTACTGGAGGCTCAATCCAGACAGGAAGAAAAAAGTGGCTGTCTCTGAGCTGCTCCAAAATGTCAGCCAGGTGAACGCAGTGCCAGGTAGGTGACAGAAACAGTTGCAGAATATATAATGCGATATCAGTTGTGTCTGTTGTACTGTACTCTTCTCCAACTAATGTATCATTCTATAAGACATTTTAGTTATTTCAATGTTCGCAGCTGTCTTCAAGTGTCCCACTGCATGTCTGCATCCATTTATTGGATTTTTGGGTATTTCTCACCAGCAGGGGGCACAGCAACCAGAATCCCTGCTCCTACTTCGGGCCAGACCCAGAAAATAATAGAGAGCATGGTCAGCACTGATGGTAAGTATATAAATGAAAAAAAAAAAAAAATCAGGAAAAGCTACAGAGCAGCATGTGTTCTTTTGTATAATTGCATTATATGGACTTCACAGCTAAACAGGTGGTGGACCTGGATGACTTTGTTGAAATGACGAAAAAATATGCACAAGGCATTGTCCCTACTGTCCCTCAATATGGAAGCCAGGACTCATCAGAAATTGAAAGTCCCGACCTGCTGGATAGAAAAGGGAAGGTAAAGCTGCCTTTTTCCTAACAATTGCTTTTTATATGTAGTATTTGTGTAATGACGACAGTGTGTTTGTGTGATTATGTGTCAAAGGACAAGGCAGGGGTAGTCCCTAAAGAACATAAGAAGGTCCAGAAACATTCTTGGAGCTTTGATTACAGTGGGATGCTGCCGGACGCCAAGCATACAAATGCCATGAAGTCACACCTGATGGTAAAATGACTGAGAGAATGTGCAGAGACTTCATTTCTCTTAATAAATTTTACTTTCAAACTCTTCTTGGTTTGTACATGACACTTTCCCTCTTCTTTTCTTCCTGTCCACCTCAGATGCTGCAGTATCCACTTCATGCAGTTATTGAGATGAAGGAGCACCTGTTTGACTGGGCATCGAGGGCAGGCGTCCAGTGGCTGAGCACGCTCATCCCTACGCAACATGTCAACGCCCTCATTTTCTTCTTTATCATCAGCAACCTGACCGTTGACCTGTTTGCCTTTGTTATACCCCTGCTTGTCTTTTACCTTTCCTTCATTGCCATGATTATCTGCACTCTAAGGATCTTCCAGAGTAGCAAGGTTAATCTAAGACTTTCGTCTTTCATGACGGTGTATTTAGTTCAAATCAGTTCAATCAAATAAATGGACAAACATACTTCTTCTTTCCAGACATGGGAGAACTTCAAAGCCTTGACATCCCTGCTGACTCGTTTCGAACCAGGTCTTGATGTGGAGCAGGCAGAGACCAACTTTGGTTGGAACAACCTGGAGCAATACCTTTACTTTATCTTTTCCGTCTTTTTTGTCATTTTCTCCTTTCCTGTCGCTGACAAGAAATGGATCCCTTGTTCTGAGCTCTCCACCGTGGCAATTTTCTTCACAGTTCTCAGCTATTACAGCCTCAGCCCAGCTGCAGCAGCATATGCACGTCGTGCAATCTTCATAGAGGTATCTGATAGAAGGATTTAAATCACACTTTTTAGATTAACTGCAAGCGTATTTAATGTTTATGAGGTGACCTTCAAAGCAGTTATCTCACATTTAGATTGATCATTTTGCTTCATTTCAGTTTTAAGTTAGACCGTGGTTTGTTCTTTTAAAAGTTGAGAAGTTATTCATTTGATCGGCCAGTAGATCCAAAATACTGCGCTGTACTCTTACTATTCAATCTTAAACCTGTTCACATTTGGTCGCAATAGAACCACAAGCCGTGTGTTCTAGTTGTGTTTTATGTGACCGTGCTTTGTCCACACCTAAATAAAACAGAGAATTGTAGGCAAATTTTCAAATTGAATATTCTGCTTTCATTTTAGTAATGATATATGACTAAAATATGATTGGGTGTTCATCTTAGGTAGCCTCAAATCTGTGTTGCCTGACACAATTACTGCCAGAGGACATGACAGGACTTCGTTTTCTTGGACACACATTTACTACAGTGCCGCTTGGGGAGTCTGTGGTACTGAAGCTCAGCATCCCCTGCCTTCTGTATATCTACCTTTTCTACCTGTTTTTCAGGTGAGTGGAGTTTGACCTGACAGACAAACCGATTATATGTACTAAAAACTGTCTTGCATGGTTTGCCATTACTAATTAGTTGATTTTTTCTTTTTTTCTTCTCACTGTAGCATGGCAAGAACCCGTGGATTTCGGGGAACCTACTGCTTCCTGATCCCATATCTTGTATGCTTCATGTGGTGTGAGTTTTCAGTGGTCCTCCTACAAAACTCCTCTGCTGTTGGATTAATCCGCACCTGTGTAGCATACTTCCTCTTCCTGTTTGCACTCCCAGCTCTGGTGTTTGGCCTTGCCATCATGCTCTTCATCCAGCTGTTTAAATGGTTCATAGAGCTAGAGTTGACAAAGATGATTGTGACCCTGGTGATATGTGCAATTCCCGTCACTCTGCGGCTCTGGACACGATTCAGCATGTCTATTTTGGATGTTCTGCGCTCATTTACGCAATGGGGTCCAGTCAAATTCATCTTACTCTGCATTTCCATGGTGATCCTGTTCTTCTCGGTATATGTATACCATGCGGAGGGACAGAAGGTGTACAACTCCACTCTGACATGGAACCAGTACAGCCAGGCTTGTGGGCCTCCAGCCTGGGAAAGCAAAGGCATGGCTCAGACTCAGATCTTCTGCAGCCACCTGCAAGGGCACAGAGTCACCTGGACTGGACGCTTTAGACACGTCCGGATTGCTGAGACAGAAAATGGTGCGCAGTCTGTCATTAATATGCTGCCAGTGTTTATTGGGGACTGGATGCGCTGCTTGTACGGTGAGACATATCCCAAGTGTGACCTAAAGAATACATCACTGGCAAACTCAACGGCAGTGGAAAAAGCAAACAGTTCTTTGTCAGGTCCAGTTTCTCTGGTCACACTGATTAAAATGCAAGAAGAAGAAGAGTTGTGTCAAATTAAGGCTTTAGCCAAGCACACCTGTCACGTCAAGCGTTTTGACAGCTATCGATTTGAGGTGACGGTGGGAATTATCCAAGATGGAAGCTCAGGAGCAGAGGATGCAGCCAGAGATATAATCCTCATGGCCAGCAATGAGTTTAGACAAGTTCTGCTCAATCTGAAACCTGGTAACATAGTAGAATTCAGTACTAAGCTGGACGGACGTTTAGGAGCAAAGGCTCCGGCCTTTGAGCTCAAGGCTATCCACTGCCTCGACTGTGCTTCTTCATGGCTGACTGGAGGTAGGCAGGTGAAGATCGAGAGAGACTTCAGGCGTACAACAGTTAGAGCCTTCAAGTTTGCATTTGACTTTTTCTTCTCACCTTTCCTGTCAGCAGAAATCCGTACCTGAGATTAAACAGACAACAAGAAACCCGAATCTTTTTTTGTGAAAGGATTTTTAAATATAATAGAAAATCCTAACTGGTTTGTGATTAAGTCATAAGATGATTTTGGAAAAAGTAATATCTTAACATTTAAGCCAAGCCTTTCTATGTTTTCCTAACAAGTTTGCATGCAAACCTTTTCCCTGATAACCAGAGCGAGCAATCTTGTCATCAGCATTAGTGCTGTAGCTAAGCTAGTTAAAGCTGCACACAAACCTAAATCCTTCCTCCTTCTACAGAAAAACATTTGCAACCACCGGATCTTATGACAGCTGTTTACATTTATTTAGTAAATATACTGATTTAATGTACACTCCATATAAACATACCAGCCTTATCATTACCAAAATGTAAAAAAAAAAAAAAATTGTAAATTCATAATTACATTTAAAATCTTATATTTGTGATTAAAATGATAATATTTCAAATGGTTTTGATAACCCTCTAGATTTCTTTTTTTTTTATTTTATACCTCTGGAGAGTCAGAGATGGTGGGTGGACATCTGTTTACATTAAAACATTACCTTAGCTGAAGTCCAACTTGTCAGAGTAATGTTGATGATGCTGGGTCTTTTTGTCTTGTGCCATTGAGCGATGGTGGCGACCGAAGTAGGAGTTTGCCTTGCAAGTAGTCAGTAACTTGCTGTTTTGAGACACTGCCCTTCTATCTTTGTTGTTGTGTCCTTGGGCAATACACTTTACCCACCTTACCTGCTGGTGGTGGTGAGAAGAACAGATGGTGCTGGTATAGCAGCCTTGCCCCAGGGTAACTGTGGCTACAATCCAGTAGCTAGCCATCATCATCAGCATGTGAATGTGTGTGTGAATGGGAATGACTGATTACATTGTAAAGAGTCTTTGAGTTTCCTAATAAAGAGCTAAATAAGTCTGATGTCATTTCATTTCATTATTTACTATATCTGGAATCTGGCACGATGCTTCAGAACTTGTAATCAAATATTGAGGTGGTTATATAGAAAACAGGTGGCAGTCATATGAGCCTGAACCTTGTGTTGATTATAGAATATTCATAATGGAGTCACATGTCTACATCTGTAATTTAAGCTACTGAATTTTTTGTTGAAATACCATTTAAAAATAGTCCAAAGGTTTACTTTCATAACAATGAATACTATATTTAATCTTCTGAGCCAGGATTTAACTCTAATTGGTGCAACATTTACTAACAACAAAGAGCCGAATTTGGAGTCTTGTTCTTTGTTAGAATAAAAGTATGACCCATTTAAGATAAACACCCAGACAAAAATAGACATGTTTTCAGATAGTTTTATTAATGCACATTCCTTTCATCCATGAATAAGGTTTTTGTACATTTACATCTTTTATTATTTTATTTTTTTTTAGTATGATAGATATACACATAAGAAGCACTGAGTAATGGTAACATGCTGCTGCTGCTGCTGATGGTGCTGCTGTGACTCTGAACTTAATGTCTCTCCCAGCTGAATGGCGGTGGGTATGACAGATTTTCAAGTCACTCAATGACAACTTAAGCCATTTTGTGTGCGTTTTCTCACATTTGTGTTGAGCTGCAATTAAAAAAAACAAAAACAAAAAAAACATGTAATGCACATTTGTGTCCTTAGTCAGAAACAGAAACAGTAAATGTACTGACAGATGTGAGAAACTGTTGCCCATTCAAAGCTCAGGTTTCAAAAGATCCAAAATTGTTCACCACTTCTGCAATAATTTTGTTTCTCCTCCATATATGGTCAACATGCAGACAGCTCAATAATCTTGTCAGGACCAAGGTCACTTGAGAACAATGTACTGCACCCTAAGAAATAAAACCATTCCACACCTATAGCTTTCATTTGTCGCAACCCAGAGCAGCAACCGGCACTGTGAGGTATCAGCTATGACAACAATAATTCCTGTGATACACTATGATAAATTTACATTATAATAAGTTTTTGGACAGTAATGATCTTTCAATGATGCATACAATGAGCTATTGCACTGATGATGACCTCTGACCCTCGAGCACACTAATAATGAGAACAAAACAGTTTTCAGCTTGGATACAGCTGAGTCAGGGTTTTTCTTTTTCTTCTTTGATAAACAATGTGCAAGTTTTTCTTGATTGTGAGATCCCTTTTTAAAATGTGCTTCTCCATTATAAAATGAACAAGGCTCATTTTGATTTTCACACATTACAGTTACATTTTTGTCTTATTCACAGTAGTTTGCCAAAGTAGTCATAAACCTTGAACTTTTTCATCAATTTGTCATCTTACACCCACACACTTCTCTGCAAGTGAAGAAACAACACAACATAGTGCATGAGTCTGAAATGAGCAGAATAAGATGCATGGTTTTCAAAAATATATACAATTAAAAATAATTAGTCAGATGTCCATTTATATCAAAACCATTTCCTTTTATACTCTTAAGTGAAACAAAGTGCTGTCAAATGCCTTCAGAACTTATCTAATCAATAATTACACTCCATCTGTGTGCAGTGGAATCTCAGGAAAAATCCAATTGCTCTGTGAAGGCCACAGAGGGTTGTTAGAGAGAATAAACAGCATGAGAAAGACCAAGAAACAACTAAGAAACATACCAAAGATGTCAGTAGTAAAGAAGTTTAAAGCAAGGTAAACCAAGCTTTGGACATCCTATTGAGATGTGAAGAGTATTATCTAAAACTCTAAACCTATACAAGATATCTGACCAAGCCATAAGAAGTTCTGTTTGCACTTTGGCGCAAACAATGTAGGGGACACAACAAATATGAAAAACTGGGGTTGCGTCACATGAGACCAAAAGTGAACTTTTCGGCCTTTGTGTAAAATGTTGGACGCAAAAACAGGCAAGAGTCAGATACAGGGCAATCCTGTAAGAAAACCTCAGGCTGTAAAAGACTTCAGCCTGAGGTGGAGGCCCACCTTACGGCAGTAAAATTACCCTAAAAAAACAAACAGAGCCTTCTTAGAATGGTTTAGTTGAAAGTAAATTTCTGCTAAAACGGCTCTGTCAAAGAATTAAGTCCAGTTGAATATCTGTGAGAGGACTCAAAAAAACTCTTTTTACCATCCGAATAAGTTGAAGCACAGAAAAAATTGGCAAAAATGTAAGTTTGTTGATGTGCAAGGCTGGCATAGATACACTTACACCTATAATTGAAGCAAAAATGCTTCTTCAAAGCATGGATTCAAAACGGCTGATTTAAAAAAAAATAAAAAATAAAAACCATGTAACCCCATACCTTTCACTTTATAGACATGCATCGCTTTGTGCTGACTTTTCACAAAACATTGACGATAGCGGTTGTGACATGACGAAATATAAAAATGTTAAGGTACCTGAACACTTTCGCAGGGCACTATTTGTTTGAATATCATCAGCCTTTATCTGGGCATAAGTAGGAAACACAACAAAAGACTAAGAGTTGCATTATACTTGATTCACCAAGCCCTCTCCTCCATCCAAAACTTTGAATGTATTGCTACACAATAATAACCATGTTGGGATATCGTAACTTTTCTGCATGAGATGCTCATTTACAGTGTACACAACAAAATCTGTTTGAAGCAAAGAGGTACTGTTTTTAAGAAATCAACACAGATATATACAGCTAACTGTAAAAAGTGTACATATGTTACCTGCCTAAGGAAAATGATCATGTTTTATAGCAGGAGTACCGCTGAACTGTTGTTGGTGATATAATCTCAATGTGAACAGATCATGTATGAATTATGTGTATAATCTCCAAGAGCACTGCTCTAAAGGAGAGTATCAATCGCTGTTGTTACTCAGCAGAGAAAATAAAGATATTGCAAAGAAACATTCACTTACACCATTCCTAACATTCCACATTAAAAAAAAAAAATCTTGAATGCAATGTCTTGTAAAGTCATCCAGTTATGTCAGGAGCATCACACATTTCTGTACTGAAGCGCTTTCCGTTCTATGTGTAAAAGAGTAGATTAGTGAGCAGTGCAACACTGTGTGATTAACAGCACTGAGTCATTGCAGATGGAGAGGTGTCCCTGCACCTTCTTCACTGCTTCTGCAGAAGGAAAATACACAAACATCTTGGAAAAGTGGGAGTAGAGTGCAGCAAAAAAAATGAAGTCCCAATTGCCCCTCGAGACATGAGCACATCTCAGGGCCGAAAAAAAACTATTAGACGCCATTCCTCAGTTATTAACTTCATTTAGATCAATAATCAGTCTGCTATTTAGTCATTAAGGATAAACCCCCATTTTCAGAGGCTGCATCTCTCACATGCACTCCTTAAACACTGAAACTGTTTCAAGTTTGTGTCTGCATTCCTGCTACTGCGTCTGCGCGTCGGGATTGACACGATCCTGAAAGATGTATAGGTTGTTGGTGGCTGCAATAGCAATTATATTCTCCTCAGGGTGCCAGGCCATGTGCAGGATTTTCTTTGTGAAGTCCAGGCTGTCGACGCCTACGTCCCCACGGCGTCGCTTCCCGCCCGTGTACACCCGGCGCGTCCGCAGCACAGCCCGAGGCTTGCTGTTCTCCCTCCATGCCTCCAGGGTAACGCCCCGGCCAGTCTCCCGATCGAACATCCGGAAAAAGCTGTTGTACGCCCCCGTCATGATCACACTGGGTTACAAGAGAACAGGAAGAAAGATTTGTCATGGGCCAGAGAAGAGGGCAGCAAGGAAGCCAAACAGGGTGAGAAGATTGATCTGATGTATCCAAAGACTGTCTTCAACATTGATTGAGATGTCAGATAATGTCAGAACCAGGCGATTAGTAGAGTCACGGTGATTAGCACTGACACATTCATCTAATTTGCTTTTAAATGTAATTATTCTGCAAACTGTCTCCACCAGTCAACACTTACCTGTCTGAGCTGTTCCAGACACATTCAAATTTATCAAAGATGCAATCATTCTCATAGAGGGAACACAGTTTACTCCTCAGGTATTCGTGGACCTGGGAAAGATAAAGACTCGGTCAGCCACTGCATTCAGAAATCAGCATACGCAGAGCTGTAAAACAGCATCATTCCTACATCATACACCAGATGGTGGGCATCTGAAATCAAAGTAGTATCATCTTACTTGGTAGGTTTCAACTGGGCCTTTGTCCATATTCAAGTCCCACACCTTAGCAGTCAAGTAATCTCTTGTTAGCAGGTAGCGCCCACTATGGCTGAACTTAACATCCGACACAGAGGAAATAATCTCTGAGAAGAATGAACGGCTTCCGGGATCTTCAGGCTCCTCAAAAACTTCAGAAACACAGTGCACAACTAGTCAGTTACACATATACAGATTTTGCTTTGGTTTTCTGCCTGGAATTCTTTATCCCCTTTTCCATTGTTTACTGCAATGCATTTTTTAATTTGCAAAAACATGCTCACGTTTGGTATGTCTGTCACAGAGAGCCGAGGCCCTCATATCACAGAGGCGCAGGGTCCCCTTGCTGCTGCTGTACACAAACAGATGGCAGTGGTGAGGGTGGAACTCTGCTGCTGTGATCACCTCTGTCAGGTCCTCCATGTTGGCAGGTTTGATGTCTACAATGTCTGGGAAGAAGTTCCATCAAGGAAAATAAGGGCAACAAAAATAACAATTATGTTTTGCTATGACGTGCACGTCGTTTCTTTTTGTTCCAGACGTTTTTATTGTATGATTGTTCACCGTAAACAGCAACCAATCAACGCATCCCATTCAGCTCTAACATGGCTGCACAATCTGTTCCTCAGTTTGTTCTATTTGTGTTTTAGTGGTCCTACGAGGCTCAGCAGAAAGTGTGCTGCTGAGTGAATAATTCAAACTAGTCTTCCATAGATGTGTCTGAGATTTTCTAGGTCAGCTTCCATTTGAATGGGAAAACACCAAAGGCAGTCTGTATAACATGCTGCAACCTGCACTGAAATCACAGTGAGCGGCACTCTTATCAAAACAAACACCCCATCATATTATTACCATATTATTAACACATAAACACAACTCTATGATGGGTTATGCTGCTTACTGTGGCTATATTTATAATAGAATGTGGTTATATTCTAGACTAGACAAGACTAGACAAGACTAGACAAGACTAGACAAGAATAGAATAGAATAGAATAGAATAGAATAGAATAGAATAGAATAGAATAGAATAGAATAGAATAGAAACATAATTTATTGTTCCACTGTGGGAGAATTCAGGTGTCTGAGTAGCAAAGTGAATTACAAATGGAAGCATGCAAATTACAAAATGATTAAATTATAGCATACATTACAGCATGAATGATTAAGTCTTTTCAAAGTGAGCATTACGGCACATTCAGTCTGCAATGTAACAAAATTTGCTGTATATGTTGCCGCACTTGTGGTTTCTTCAAAATGTGACTAACAAGATTTAGTGCGCACAGCTAAGTCAAAGTCAAACGTACTTATATCACACATTTAAAACAACAACAACTGTTAAAAATGTGTACTGTTTGTGTTTGTGCCTGTCCTCTGTGCTTTTATCTGGAGCTCAGAACAGTTCGTAGTGCTTAGTTCGCAGACCTCAGTCATCTAGCGAGATCGTACCAGTTCAGAAGATCAGGAAAAATACAAAGGTGCTGCTAACCCTTGCAAAACCTTGAAAAAAATAAAACATTTTTGTAAATAAATGTGCTATTTATCATTATTTATTGTTTTTAATAATGTTCAAAATAAAAGCATATTAATTTAACTGGAAATATTACATTTATTAGACTGCTTAATAACCTTCGCGTTGTTTTAAGAGACAGAGTCATTTAGACTCCAAGCATTTTTTTACTCTGTGTGCAGTCCGACAGGGTCGCACTGACCCCATGTGCACTTTTACAAGTTTTTTTTGTGTGTCGTTTTGTAAACTGACAGTCTAACAGGACCTCATCACTATCCGACCGTGACTTTGGCCGTGGTTTTCCTGGTCTCCACGCGTGAGGGTAAAACAAAATGAATTGGTTACTGTGGTTTTAAACACATCTGTTGCACTGATTTTGCTTGTCCAAATAGAAAAAAATACATTGGTGAATTCTGAAGATTCATTTTAAATATTTATCTCTTCTTCAGTGAGAGATAAAGTGTCAAACGAAGATCTGAGATCATTTCCAAAGTAACCAATAGCAGTTTTTTTGTAGTAACTTGGTCAATCAAATTACTACAAATTATCTTGCAGTAATTTGTGTAAATCATAAAACAAACCAGGAGTGTAAAGGATACTGAAACTACGATCAGTGATGTCCAGATGCCACATATTGATGCGGAGGTCATCAGCAGACAAGTAGGTCTCCCCATCGCTGTTGACGGAGATGGAGTTGATGTGGTATGTGTGTCCATTTGCAAACACCCGCCTGGGGCGAACTTCTACCATCAGATCTGTTGGCTTCAGCACTGGCACCTTAAACAGAAAGTCAAAGAGTCGAGATGGAAAAAACGTATGCAGATGAGAAAGGGCAGAACTAAAGTACACAATGTGGTACAACCATAAAGTAAAGAACTAATGCATGAAAGGCAAGCAAGTTGTTTTTTACATTGAATGTGTTAGCGGGTGTGTAGATGTGTGTGTGCTTCGGTACCCTCAGAGAGGTAATGGTGGAAACATCCTTGATTCGTCCCTCCTCATCTTTCAGATTGTATCCTTCTGGTCTCTTGTCCCTCTCACTGACCTTCCACAGTTTGACGGTTTTATCTGCGAAAGGAACACAGCACAATCTGAGCAGTGATATGGGGTTTGTTTAAACAGAGATGGCAGACCTACAGTGCCTTAAAAAGTATTACCACTGCTCCAAAAAGCACAAAGTAAAATGAGTTCAGTCATAAAGATTTTATTTCAATCACTAAAGAAGATTAAAATCGTTTACTCGCTGTGGGAACATAGTTGTGAAGTTTGAGACCAATGCTGTGGTCTTTTCCTGTGACATTTAAAAAGCCTCCTGCAGAAAATCGATGAGACTTCCTGTCAGAGTTTGATCTGTTTCTTACCATTGGTGGAAAGCAGGAAATGTGCGGCATTCTGCTGCGGCAACCATCGGATCTTGTTGATCTTCTCCTCTATCTCCAGACTCTTCAGGTAATCAAAGTCAGGTTCGTGACTCTGAAACGTGCTGTAGACGTTGTACTCTCCCGAGTCCCCCACCTCACCTGCCTCCTCTGAAACGCCCTTGGACTAAAAGGAGCAGAAAAGCAAGTCAGAAACCACTTTTTCGCCATTTGTATTGGTGGGTTATGAAGACAGTCCTGCATGCAGAGAGTTAACATAACAATAAGGTGACCGGACCTCGGTTTCTCTTTGAAAGATGACCACTCGGCCACCTTTATCCCCTGTTGCCAGCAGGTCCCCTGTTTGGTTGAATTCCACTGTAGAGATGACATCGGCTGGAAGGGACCCAAGGAAAATAGCACCAGTTACTCAGGAGGGTGGGTAAGATAAACACATAATGACTAAGAAGGATACAAAGACAACTAAGTCGCAAAGAGCAAACAAGACGTGCCAGGCATGGCAACAAACAAGGGTATGAGATTCTTATTGAATGATACTCTCGACTAAAAATACCAGGATACCAGAAACACTATCGTTTTTAAACAAAAATGTATGAAATGATTTAATAGTGTCAATCACTTTTAATCACACAGCAACTCTGTGTTGAAACACAGTAACTCTGTTTTTGCAACCAGAGATACTTCCAAACATTAGAATTTGACTGTATTGTGAAGGAAAATTAGATGATGTTTTTTTCATTCAGTTGACTCACTTCTGTGATTCAGCCAGTCAAATAAAACTCTGGTTGTTTTACCATATTCTCTGTCATCCCATTACCAGGAAATTAAATCATTTGAAATGTATGACTGGTAACTATTTCCTGCCAAGTATTTACATGATAATATCAAAATGTCTGATATCATTTAACTGAGTAGCACTCAACTAGCTTCCGTTCCATTAATGACTTGGTAATTTGTGAATTGACATATTTTCAGGAGAATTTGCTCCATACAGCTGGAGAAAAGTTTGGTCAGTCTTGCACTTCTAGGCAGGAAATACAGGGAGTTACATTAGAAAATTTGAGATATGTTGAAACTGCAGGTTTTTTTAAAGATGTTTAGATGCCTTGATACTGTTCCATATCTAATCCCAAAGGTCTGTGTTATTTGCAACTGGAAACATTTCCCAAAACTAGAAATTTGCATTCCTTTAAGGAAGGTCGGCACAGCAACAAGCCAAAAGTGGGAGAACAACAATATGTTACTCAATCCTCTGTAGTTTATGGGGAATTCGGACAGTCTAGGACTTTTGTTGGCATTTAATTAAAATAACTTTAAACCACAGGAAAAAAGGCTTATAATGTAAGCAATTTTTCCAAAACATACTAATAAAAAACAATGAAATACCCTCACACTGATAGCCCATGCCTGGTTTTTACACAGTGATTTCCAAACAATCAATTAGATTTTTGTTACAGGCAAGAGAAGATACACTTTACCCAGCTAACATGTAGCAACATGTGAGGAGTAGTGAATAACATTTATCTGTGAAGCACTTTCTGGTGGTGTCTCCTAAAAACCTAACTTATAAAAACTGTATGACAGATTATTTTATACATTTGAAGACTAATTTTCTCAAGCCATTTTATACCTTAATACTGAGCCTTGAATAGTAGCTGTAGTACAAATGAAAAGGAGAAAGAAGATAGGGTCAAATGTAAAGAAACATGAAAATGTCATGATTGATGTGACATCCAATTTCTGCTAAGCATCACATCATAAATATCCACAAGTAAATTGAGAATAAGTTTCAAAAGTAATATTTGAAATCTAACCACAAAGTGGTGCCATCACGTTCTCCCTGCCAGTCCTACGATTAACCTGTTCGATCTGTAATCTCCAGAGAGAGAGCACTGACCCACCTTCTGTGACGTAGTCTCTCAGGAAGGTGTGGTTGATTTTGGGGCTCTCAGCGTCCTCGCCCATCTGAAGAAGAGGGAGGGTGGCCCGCCAGTTCGCCCGTCCTGAGGGGAAGGGTCCAATCTGTAATCTCTCTTCCCGCCCAGGCTCCGCCCATGCTGCTGGGGCCTACTGAAGCATCCTGAACCGAGGCATCCTGGGAAACCGGACAGCAAGACGGAGAAGAAGGGTGAGGAGGAGAAAAGAGGATGGAGAAAATGGGGTTTTAAGAGGAGGACAAAGTAAATGGAGAGTCTGAAGAGAAAGATGTTTTTGGAAAGAAAAGAAGAAGAAGGGTCCACATGTCAAAAAGTGTCAGAAATGCACTTCCCACATTAGATAAGTATAAATGTGCTGCCAAGGCCTAACTGGTGCTGGAGTAGATCCATGCACTAGGCAGAGGAGCCATGATAACAAACAGCTCGAGCACAGACACAGAATACGAGTCGTGTTGCTGGTTTCAGTAGGCATGCAAAAATGAAGACTGGGCAAATATAAATGCATTCATCCACTCATTCATCCAGAAGCTATGTCAGGAGTAGGAAATAATCTCAGGGTGTGGTATTCCTTGCTCTCATATCCGAACACACACACACACACAACCACGCACGCACACTTTACAGTCAGATAGTCCTTGACGGAGATCAGAGGAGAATGCAATGTCTTGCCTGTGCTGCAGGAAGAGAGGTGGAGGATGGGGGGACAAGGGGGATCAGGCCCCAGCTCACCTACCAGTCTGCCCGCTGCTGCTGTTCCTGCTGGAGAGTGTGTGTACACGGCCCTCTGCTGCAGTGTGCTCCTGTCGAGGGAAGGGGAAAAGGAATGGATGGAGCAAGGATGGTGGTATGAGGAGGAGAAGCAGAGGAGGAGAAGAGAGAGAAAAGACGGAGGGATGGCGAGGTGGATGGAGGAGCGCTTGCTGCCGATGCTGTGGATGTGATCCTGTGCAGCATCCACCGATGTCATGGCAGCCTCCTCTTGGAGCAGCCTATCACAGCACAGCTGTCACCGGTGGATCCGCCCACTGCAGGTGGTGGGGAGCGCAGTTGGCCAGCAGGGGGAGCCGTTCACTGGTGAGTGCTTTATATGTAGCGTGTTGAGTAAGATGAGGATTATTATAAGGGTTTTTTTTATCATCATAGATTTGATTTACACAGTTGGTCTATTCTGATTTTAAAGAGAATAAGAATTTACATTTGTTGGTTGGTTTTTAGGTCCCAAATGATTAAAGACAGCTGAAAGCTGAAAAAGATCACCCAGAAAGTTTTAAAAATGTATGTTAACCCTCCTGGGTCTGAAGGCACTTTTGTATTTAATTTAGGTTATTTTTCACACCATACTCCCGATGATTTTAGATGTATAATGCTTTCATTATAGGAGCTGATTTCTGACAAGACAAGCATCTCTTAATGGAGAATGAAACATTGTACAGGGAACACCAGACTCCTACAAAAAATAAATACATAAAAATATATACCTAGCTATACCTCAGCCTTATCTTAGTCTGTGACTGGTGTTTTAAATCGTGGTTTGATAAGTGTTGTTTTTTTTAGTACAAAGATCAGATTTTGTGCATGAGGACATGCTTAGCATGTGAAAATTGTACTTTCTTTTATGTTTTCAATCTAATTTTTGTAGTTGTTTTTATTGGTGATCATGATGTGCTGCAACAAATGTTATTTTGGGTCACAGCTCAAGGGAAGGGTTATATTGGCATTGCATTTAGCTTTAGCTAGCAGAAGATTAAAAGCCTGTTCCTTCCTATTCCTTCCTTCCTATTGAAGCAAAGCCATCAGCTCTAAATCAATTAATTTTTTTTCTGCGCTGAGGTTTAAATCAGCTCCAAGTATCTAAAACCTTTGGGGCCAGACCGGTTAAATTAAGGTCAGGGGATTACTTGCAGAGATCACCCTGTCCTGACACGTCATTAATCTTATCACCTAGTTTACCCGGTGTTTCCCATTTGCTTCTCTTTCATGTGGGAGAAACTCTGAAGCGAAGGAGTCCATGGAGCCTGACAGCGGGGCTCCCGGTGCTTCTCTGCCGGCTTCCGAAGTTGCTGGTCCTGAAGGTTCTTTCCGCAGGACAGAAGCGATACAGTCTCTTTCCGTTCAAGGCGCAGGATGGCTCTCTTCCCCACTGTGGAGCCCCCGCTCCAAAGCGAGAAAAGTGAGATTAGGAGGTGAAATATCAAGCGACGGAGCGTGGCTGGATGACCACTCGGATTTTACCAGCGCGTACTTTTCACGCAGAGCATCAGTGTAAGTTTCTCTGACGGCTGAGTGGAAATGTTAACTTTTAAAATATTAAATAAAATGTCCCTTAACATTCACACGCGTATGCAAAAATATGGATTTTACTTTATTGTTGAAAGCTGAACGTTTTCTCAAAAGAAAAGGGTGCAAAATTCGGTTTTTCTTCAAAAACATTGGGTTTCTCACGGTTTTCCCAGCCAGTGTCTCTTCTGGCTCAGCTAGTCTTGAGCTCTTCCTACTGCTCCAAACGGACTCACAGTGACCCCCATTCCGCTACTAATGACTATAGAAAAGGTTTTGTATTTTTATTAGAAACAACAAAAACTGGGCATTTCTCTCCCTGTTATACTTTCAAACTTGGTAAGGGGTCTGTTAATGTTAACACATTATAATACTGTGTTGGAGAGATTCAATGAGAAATTTAGCATAGTCGGAATTGTGGAAAAAAGGGGAAATAATTATGACTGCAACTGTGAAAATGTTTAATTGCAAGTCAGCCATTTTGGTTTTTTGAGGTCAGGATTGATGTGAGGAATCAAAAAATATCCCTCTTGGAATTCAGACTTTAGGTGACTGTTTTGTTTTTTCAACCTTGAACATGTCTTTTTTTTTTTTTTTTCTCAATACAAACCGAACAAAATTAAACTATGTCATTCGACCAATACATAGTGCCAATAGGAAAAAAAATAGAAAAGGAGAGTTTTTGTGTGTTTATTTTGTGTTTATGACTCAAAGCACCAGAAAAATGCCATATTCTGTTGTAATACTATTTTTGAAATGTCTGTTCAGAAGGTAATATTTGGAAAACCCTATTTGTTATCAAAAGTAGATTTCCCCTACTTTTTTAACAAAGTAGGGGAAACCCTACCTTGTTAGGGTTAATCAATTAATGATCAATTAATCAAATTGATTTTGATTGATTTGATTGATTGATTGATTAATTCATTCATTTCACTAACATGCCGTCAGCGTCATTGCAGCAGTGTTATCTTTTTCCCATTTCTTAAACTATGCTCGGCACAAGAGGCTCCAGCCTTCTGTGCAGCTCCTGAATCAGCCACTGTTCACTAGCAGCTGTGTCTCGGTTGTTTATCATTACTTTGTCTACTGTGTTCGATTTCAGGATCAGTGATCCTCAGGCAGATATGACACCAAGGTTTCTGAAGAGCATGGGAAACCTGGACATCATCTCCCACAAGGACAGATGTGACTGCCAAGTTTCTCATGACCTCCATGACCCACTAATGATGGCTCCTCACCACACAACGTCTGTTCCCGTTACTCCAATCCTCAGTGCTCCTGATAAGACGGATTGTTCCTTATGGCCTCCAGTTTCTCCCTGTCCTCCCATTTGTCTTTGTTCCAACAAGTTGCCCTTTGCTCCTTATATTCAGCCTACAGTTGATCTAAAGAGTGTGTCCTGTGGCCTCGGAGAAGGCTGCCCATGGATGATTGGGCTCCTGGGAGGAGGGCTGAGATGGATGGGATCTGTGGCAGAGCTCTGCCAGGGAGCTCTCAACCATGCTGAGGAGCTGCTGGCTGCTGAGGGTGGTGCCCTTTCCCTTGTGAGAAAGGCCTACAGTGGAGAAAGTGATTTAGAGGAAGTGATATCCTTGACAGCAAATGGGTGCAGCCAGGCACATCAGAAAATACTGCAGGGTGTCATGGAGCTGGTTTTGGCCACAGGTTCGCCAATAAACCAGAGAGATGCTCAGAAGGTATTTTATTTTGCATAGTACCTTGCGAAGGTTTCTGAACCTCTAAACGTTTTCAGATTTGGTCATGTTGCACTATGAGAACATAACAGCTTACCACAAGGAAAACATGTGGAAGAAGCAGGTTTTTCAGATGAGACCAAAATATTTACTTTTTCAATTACTGTGTGGTGGAAAACTATCACTGACCGTAACCCTTAACACAACACCCCCTCTATGAAACATGGTGGTGGCAGAGTCATGCTTGGGATCTTTTTTTTCAGCAAGGATTTGGAAGCTGATTACTGGTAATGGAAAGATGGATGGAGCTGTTCCACCGCGACAATGACCATAAATATTTATCCGGAGCTACAATGGAATGAGATCAAAAATACTTTATTGATCCCATGAATGTTAAAAGTCCAAACTTTGACTAAATCATTAATCAGCTTAACTGTTCATAGACTTTCAACTTTTTTATATGTAACAATGGTAAAAACATACAATATACATTTTGAAGGTGAACTTTCAGCAAAAGGTGGTTCTTTAAATTATTTACTCAAATGCACTGTGCACAAACGCATATCATTTCCTTACACTCCCCAATTATACACCACTTTGTGTTGATCTATCACACAAAATCTTATTGAAGTTTGTGTTGTTATGTTTTCCGTGTGACATAAAGTGGAATCTTCAAGTTAGGAGTGAAAGACTTAAAATCTGAATTCACCCTATTTATGGAGATCATAAAGAGTTAGCCTCATGTGTCCTCTGGTTTTAGCGACATGTGTGACAACATGGTCGTCTCATGGGTAGTGGGAAGCAAGTCACAAAATCCCAGATGGAGTAGCTGCTTTTAATCCTTTTAGACTTAGTCTACTGATAAAGTGGTTTGCTAAGCTGAAGTAATTAGCAATTATGCTATGCTTTCAGCATGGCACCTTTTGGCTTTAACCGGGTTTATTCACCCAAGCATTCACTTAAAGTGGTGCCCAATAAAAATGTGAACAAAATAGATGCTGTACTTTCCTTTTCTGTAAACCAAACACTATAAAAATTACTGGCATACATTTGAAGTTCAGTGTAATAACTACACATGAAGAGGGTTTAGGAACCAAACGGAGAGTCTTCCTTTCTCCCAAAAACCTGCAGTGATGCAGTAAAATGCATGATTTACTTGATGACATTTGCACAGGCACTGACCTGCACCAGGAGCAAAGGTGGCAGAGGCCACTAAAAGGCTTACAGCTGATGCCCTCTCCAGCCCTCGTCTTTGCAGCCAATGTCATTAGGGATGAGAGTTATTTCCTGGTACAGTTAGAACACAGGTAATACTCAGTCAGGACGGATATGGAAAGGTATTCCAGCAATTCCAGCTATTCCAGTTATTGATCGATGATTTTCATATTTTTTTGTTTTAGATAAAATATGAAAGGTAGGGTGTGCGTTTGTATTAATTCCTTTTGAGTCAATATTTGTTTGCGCTTACTTTTACCAAAATAGCTCAATCTCAGCCAGATGAGATGGAGTATATGTGAATATCCATTTTTAAGCTTTGCCAAATGTTTTCAATTATATTTAGGTTTGCACTTTGACACTGTTCTATTCTAGAGGAAGAATATGGTTTAATCTAAACCATTTTAACTGTAGCTTCTGGCTGTGTGTTCAAGGCATACAGCCAGAAGCTTGTAACATCTTAAGTGTTCTGCAGCCTGTAACTGGTTTACTTCAGGGTTTGCCCAGTATTTACCACTCCCCACTGATTATGTACATCTTCTCTATATAGAGCTGTACAGAGAAGTTGTACAACTCCCTAAAGCATGATTCTTTGTGTTTGCCTCCCAGATAAAATTCAAGTTAAATCCCTCAAGGCTTCTGGTTGTTAAGTGTTCAAAGTGAACAAATCGTTTTGCAAGGCTCAATGTGCCTGCATACTGTCAAAATGTTTCTGCATGGAGGTTGGTTAATAAGTAATATATTCTGTTGCCAAATTACACAAATATCTAGCACATGCAGTTTTTCTGTAC